GGAGGGTCGGGTGAGTGAGGGAGCGACAGGAGCAGGCAGCAGCAACCTGGGTAGACACAGCCACCTGAGGGGGCGCTCCAGCCGGGGGGGGCACGGTGTCCAGAGTGAACAGGCCGGACACCGGGTCCCGGGGGAACGTGGACAGGGGGGCACCAGTGGCGGCCTCGGTACAGACAGCATACCGCTCGTGACCAGGGAACGTAGTGGTGACGCCAAGGTCCTGGAGGCAGCCGACACCAACTAGGTTCCTGGAGAACGAGGGGATATGCAGACCTGTAAGAGAGCCCGAAGGAACCGCCGGACAGGGAAGGGTGGTGGAACTGCGGGCGACTACCGGGCCGCCGGAGGGGTCAGCAAGAGAAACGGCAGCAGGAACAGGAAGCGGCGTCAGGGTGGTGGAGTCGCGGAAGAAACACCGAGAGGCGCCAGAGTCCAAGGTGAAGGAAAGCGAAGCCGAGGGGTCTGGCGACGGAACGACGGCAGAAGCACCAAGACTACACAAAGCAGGGGATCCTACGCCTGACGCAGCAGGGGAGGCTAAGCTAGGCACACCTACACTAGGCAACAGTGAGTAATAAGTCGGAAGCACACTAGAGTCATCAGCATACATCACATGCAGAGCAGAAACAATGGCATCCATGTCCATATCAAAGATCTGAATCTGACGACTAAGCAAACTGTGCCAGTCCGGGAGGTCTGGCGACGGGCCGAAACGCTGACGAAAGAGGTCGTCCAGGCGACGAAAGCAGCGGGGAGTGGAGTGACCGATCTTACCGCAAACGAAACCGCGGCGAGGACCGGTCTGGATCTGGTACTGACAACGCCCGCCGGCAGAGCCACCACGCGGCACACCACCACGCGCCCGTCCACCGCCAGCGCCGGGCCACCCTGGCGGGAGAACACTCGTCTGCCGCGTCTGCGACGGCTGCTGCGGCTGCTGCGAAGGCTGCGACTGCGGCGGCTGCTGCGGCTGCTGCAACTGCAGGGGCGGCGACTCAGCTGGACTGGGCAGGGTCCCCTCGTCCGCTCCAGCACCAGGCGACCCGACCCCACCACTACCCCGCCCGCACCCCCGCCGCCCCCTCCGCCGCGCCCAGCCTTGGGGCGGCGGCCCTTCCCAGAACGGGCCTGCGCTGCAGCAGCAGTCTCAGCCACTGCGGCAGAGCCGTCGGAGAAGGTACACTGAGCGGGGGCACAACCCTGAAAGATAGGGACCGGCACGACACCGCTCGCCTGGGCGATGGAGCGGTGACGGGTCTCTATCACAGTCAGGGTGTCGACAAAGTCAGTGAGGGTGAGGTCTGCGGGGTGAACACTAAGGAAGCGGTCGCGGGCGACAGCAAGGCGGTCAGGGAGGCGGGTGGCAAGCAGGTAGAGGGTAGAGGTAATGGGCGGCTGGTGGGCTCTAAGCTGTGCGTCAGTGCATGCGGCGCGCCAGGTCTCCTCTATCGAGCGCAGGTGGGCAGCGAGGTCAGAGACAGTGGGGAACGAAGCAAGGTCAGGAAAGAGCAGCGGGAGGATCAGGCGACCCACCGAGGCAGCCGGAGGGGTGGAATAGCGCTTGATGACAGCATCTAAGTATGCCTGAGCAGTAGTGAGGGACCTAAAGCGAGGACGCTCGGACGGGGGGAGGGCGTTGCTAATGGCAAGCTGGGCGACAGCATCGCGAGAAAGCCAGACAGAGCGCGCACGGGCAGTGGCAGCAGTAGACTCACGCTCAGTGGGTGTGGGGTCAGCGGGCAGAATAGCAGGAGGGTCTGGGCAGGGGAGCGTACCGTCAAGGTGTGCGGAAAGCGGTTCACCATCCTGCCGCTGGCCAGTGAGTTGGCGGCGGAGGTCGGCAAGCCACGCCTCGAACTCTAGGGGCTGACCTTCAGCGTCGAAGCGAAGCTCCGCCGCCATCAGGAACAGTCCAGTGCTGTGCAGGGCGGTGCAGCTAGGTGGGGTGCGGTGCAGTGCGATACAGTGCGGTGCAGTGCGGTGCAGTGCGGTACTGTGCGGTACAGTGCGGTGCAGTGCGGTGCAGTGCGGTACAGTGCGGTGCAGGGCGGTGCAGTGCGGTGCAGGGCGGCACGGAGCAGGGCGGGGTGGGGGGGGGGGGGGGGGGAACCGTACCAGTGAGGAGGACGGGGCCGGGGCTGGCCCGACGGGGCCGGGCGGGCGCGACGGGGCCGGGCTGATGCGACAGGGCCGGAACGGGGCGACGGGGCCGAGCGGGCGCGACGGGGCCGGGCTGGGGCGACGGGGCCGGGCGAGTGCGGTAGGGCCGGGCCGGTGCGACGGGCCGGGCGAGCGGGACGGCGGCCGGGCTGGTGCGACGGGGCCGGGCGGCTGTGACGGGGCCGGGCAGGGTGCGACGGGGCCGGGCGGGTGCGACGGGGCCGGGCGGCTGCGACGGGGCCGGGCGAGCGCGACGGGCCGGGCAGGGTGCGACGGCGCCGGGCGGGCGCGACGGGGCCGGGCGGCGGCGACGTCGCGGGCGGGCGCGACGGGGCCGGGCGGCGGCGACGGGGTCGGGCGGGCGCGACGGCGCCGGGCGGGCACGACGAGGCCGGGCGGCGGCGACGGGTACGACGCGGCCGAGGAGGGGCGCTACGGGGCCCAGGAGGGGCACGACGGGGGGCCCAGGAGAGGCGCTACGAAGCCCAGGAGGGGCGCGACGAGGCCCAGGAGGGGCGCTACGGGGCCTGGGAGGGGCGCGACGGGGCCTGGGAGGGGCGCGACGGGGCCCAGGAGGGGCGCTACAGGGCCCAAGGAGGGCGCGACGGGGCCCAGGAGGGGCGCTACGGGGCCCAGGAGGGGCGCGACGGGGCCCAGGAGGGGCGCTACGGAGCCCAGGAGGGGCGCGAAAGAGCCCAGGAGGGGCGCTACGAGGCCTGGGAGGAGCGCGACGGGGCCCAGGAGGGGCGCTAGGGGGCCTGGGAGGAGCGCGACGGGGCCTGGGAGGGGCGCGACGGGGCCTGGGACTGCGTTACAGGGCCCAGGAGGGGCGCTACGAAGCCCGGGAGAGGCGCGACGAGGCCCAGGAGGGGCGCTACGGGGCCCAGGAGGGGCGCGACGGGGCGCTACGGGGCCTGGGAGGAGCGCAACGGGGCCCAGGAGGGGCGCTAGAGGGACTGGGAGGGGCGCGACGGGGCCTGGGAGGGGCGCGACGGGGCCTGGCAGGGGCGCTACGAAGCCCAGGAGGGGCGCGACGGGGCCTGGCAGGGGCGCTACGAAGCCCAGGAGGAGCGCTACGGGGCCCAGGAGGGGCGCTAGGGGGCATGAGCGGAAGCGGTAGGTGGGGGGGGGGGGATCCTACCTACGCGTGATACCATATCAGAATAATTGAATAATGGTAAAGTGAGAGTACACACAAATATATCTAAGTTTTGTATCCTCTAAGAGGTGACTCTATACAGTCTATACAAACATGACAAATACACATGTTTGACACTAAGATTCATTTTTGGGTACGCTGATTCGTCAGCCTCACCCCCCAAAATTAGGCTGATGTATCAGCCTTGCCCCTGGAAAAAAGGCTGAATTTTCAGTGTTGGAAAAAAAAAATCGCTGATCAATCAGCGTTACTAGAAGAAAAAGTCTGATGCACAGATTCAGCCGCGCTTTGTAGATTAGCGCAGGCTTTCAGTAATGCGGTTATGTCCTGGCTGCGCACTTGACATTCTGATGATTGGCTGGCGCAGTGACAATTTTCCGGTCTAAGTAAGAAATACCTTCGATGTAAGCATCGATACTAGGAATTTGAAACCGACGGAAACGGGTGAAAGTGTGGCCTGCGGTGGGCTTTGGAATCCGGATGCAGCTGAAAGAAACCTTGAATATGCACGAATGTTTTATGATTACCTTTCAATCGCGGGGTTTTTTTAAGGTAATTAAGGTAATTTCGCGTCAGCGTGGTGCCCGACCCACATCTAGTCATGGCGCATTCCTCACCGATGTGGCTGGCCGATTTGTGGCGAGTTGTTTACGGTCGATATTCCAGCCTGAGAGATGGGAGACGATCGTGAGCGTCTGTAAGTTTGTGGCAAGTGTCCTGCCACTGGCGAAGAATACGCCCTCAAACACCACCATCGCAACAAGGAGGGGACACGTGTCTGCATGAGTACTGTACATAGCTTACCTTAGGGTTTTCGTCCACACGGCAGATCCGGGTATATCTCTCGCGGGACCCAGACAGAATGGGTTTATCTGGAACGTTACCCGTCAATGTCCGGGTTCAGTCCCGGGATTTTCTCCGTCATGACAAACGCTCTCACGAAAAGTTCCTGGATTCTACAAGGGGAACCATGTAAGAGTACTACGCTCAGCTCTTATACTTCTACTTCTTGAACTTCCTTGCTAGGGCTGATGTGCCCTGGGGGAGGGAATGGGGGGGGGATCTGTGGGGTGGTGTGAGAAGTTTTAGTATCCGTGTTTTTCAAAACCGAACACGTCACTTCACGTGTTCTGGTCAAAATGTACCCGTCAAATCAGGGTTCATGAAAATCGAACACGTCGCAATCCGGTTTTGGTTCAAAACTCACCCGTTATTTGGTCAAAATCAAGGTAGTTACCCGTAAAAATAAGCCCTGGTAACTGTACTCTATGTACCCTTGGTTGTGGGGAAGTGGGAGAAGGGAGGTACGTGTGTGGCTGTGGGGTGGAGCGGAGACTCTGCAAATCTTCCTTGGTTGCGGGGGTATGAGAGGGGTGTGAGTGATTTGTGACTGGTTGCAGGGGACTTCGCCAAAAAAAATGTCTTGCGGGTGTTAGGTGTGGGGTGCGGTGTGACTGGTTGCGGGGGGACTTAGCAAAAAACTTCTGGCATGCAGGTGTTCTGAGTTCGGTGTGACTGCCTGCAGAGGACTTAGCCGATTTCTTTGGGGTTGCGGGTGGGTGTGTCTGACTGGGCGGGGGAGCCGGGCAAATGACGCTGTACTCGGTTTCAGCGCCCCCCCATATACATGCACTGATGCTTCAGAGTACACCCTAAAAGAAAGGCTGAAAATTCAGACAACACACAAATAAAAAGGCTGATTTTTCAGGGCCCACTAAACAAAAAAGGCTGAGTGTTCAGCCTTGGTACCAACAAAATGTCTGAAAAAAGGCTGAATCAGCGTAAAAAGGCTGATATCTAGGGCCCTGCTCACAGCACACCGACAGACCCAGCATGCTGCCCGAGGTGCACTCCACTCCACCTCTCCGCCTGCTGGATGAAATTGTGCTCCATTTACAAATAAAAATATTTTGGACCGTGCCTCACTGAGAACATCATTGCACACTAGACATGTTACAGAGTTGAGAGTATCACCCCTGCGTTGGCTGTTTGGGTACGAACATCCCTGCCCCCCTGCCCTTGAGCTCGAGTCTGCACGCAACACCACATGAGAGCCGGCAGAGAAGACCCCAGCATCCCCTTCCAGATGAACCATCCGGCTCTCAAAGCAAACAGTGCGAAGGCGAGAGCAAGTGGTAACTCAGTAACTGCTATAAATGCTGATCCATTTTAGACAATACACACCGCTATAGCTCCCACCAACACCGTGCATTGCCGTGTACAGTAGCTGCCAGATTCCATGCATCACAACAACCTCAGCAGGCAGCGCAGGCAGGATGACACGTACAGCCAGGATGACACGCACAGCCAGGAAGACACGCACAGCCAGGATGACACGCACAGCCAGGATGACACGCACAGCCACCTCGCTATGCAGCAAGACCGGAAACAGAATGCACGTGACACGCAAGAGCAGAGGCGGGGAGACGATCAGGAGGGCTAAGACCGGCAGGGAGAAGGCTGCGAGGTAGCAGACCGGCAGGGGGAAGACCGCGAGGGAGCAGACCAGGAGGGTTGGAGGGGCTCCCCGTTGGTGGCGTCGGCGAGGTTGCCGAGTATATCCAGCAGGTAGGCCGCGCACGGGTGGTGCAACAGGGTCAGGGAGAAGACTGCGAGGGAGAAGACTGCGAGGGAGAAGACTGCGAGGGAGAAGACTGCGAGGGAGAAGACTGCGAGGGAGAAGACTGCGAGGGAGAAGACTGCGAGGGAGAAGACTGCGAGGGAGAAGGCTGCGAGGGAGAAGACTGCGAGGGAGAAGACTGCGAGGGAGAAGACTGCGAGGGAGAAGACTGCGAGGAGAAGGCTGCGAGGGAGAAGACTGCGAGGGAGAAGACTGCGAGGGAGAAGACTGCGAGGGAGAAGGCTGCGAGGGAGAAGACTGCGAGGGAGAAGACTGCGAGGGAGAAGACTGCGAGGGAGAAGACTGCGAGGGAGGAAATAAGCCGAGGAAATCTTACAAGGGAGGGGCACCCCGATGGTGGCATCCGCGAGGTTGCCGTGTATGTCCAGAAGGTAGGCCACACCCGGGTGGTCCAACAGGGGGCGGGACAAGACTGTGAGGGAGTAGACTGTGAGGAGGAGCCAAACTTACGAGGGAGCCAGCTTGCCAAGGCAGGGCAGGGGTTCTCCATTCGTGGCATCTGCGAGGTTGCCATGGATGTCCAGCAGGTAGGCCGCGCCCGGGTGGTCCAGCAGGCCCCTCTGCATGAGGATGTCTAGGTCTTGCCGCTGCAGCTCCCTCCCGTTCACCAGCACGAGCGTCTGCCCGCTGGAGCAGTGGCGGAGTAGGGGAGCTAGGGCCAGGTCCCAGATGCCCGCCTGAGAGGGGGGGGGAGGCGGGGGGCCAATGAGATCGTGAATGGCAATGCGGGAGAGAATGTGGATTGAAAGGGGTTAGCACGACTATGGAGAAAAGGCGTGAAGTGTGAAGGCACTGAAGCTAAAAGTGAAAGGGAGGAGATCGAAAGAGAAGGCAGCAGAGAGCAGAAGGAAGGCAGCAGAGAAGAGAGGGAAGGCGTACCGGAATGATCCCAAGGCAGGGCCCTCCGATGACTCCCCAGAAGCCAGCATGCACGTCGTACCTGCACCACCCAGACCAGCGCGGGCGTCAGTGGCTTTCGACATTTCACCAGATGAAAGCCACTCGTGTCAGTAGTACCTCGCTGCCTGCACTACTCACTCGCTGCCTGAACTGGAAATCGATACTCCCTGCTTTAAACTTGACACATACTAGACGCCCCTAGTTACTCTCAAATGCACCCCCCATCCATCAGCATTTGCTGCACGCCGCAGCACCAGCCGCTCTCACCAGTAGCTGCCCGGGTGGATGGGCCCAGCGAGTTCTTCTGCCCGCGCTACAGCCGCGTCCGTGATGGGCACACTGTTCACCACCACCCGCCGGCTGTAGCCCCCCCTCCTCGCCCATGGCCCCTCCAACCCCATGGGCCCCACAACCATGCCCATTCCCCCATGCCCATGCCAGCCATGTCTATGCCCATGCCCCCTTGCCCCATGCCACCTGGCGCCATGACCCCTGGCGCCACTAGCATGCCTGGCATGCCGTGCCCTGCCAGAGCGTAGGCGGGAGGGGAGGATGTGCATTCATGGCAGCACCAGGCATTGCTGACGAGGGCATGGGGTTAGGAGGCAAGTGCTGCTGCATGCTGGGTTGCTGCATGCTGGGTTGCTGCATGCTGGGTTGCTGCATGCAGGGTTGCTGCATGCTAATCTGCTGCATGGGCAGTGGGAACTGGTGTGATGGCACCATGGGAATCACGCCTGGGGCGCCATGGGCTGTGCCTGCATCAAGTTAGCCCCCATCTGCTGCTGCTGCATCTGCTGCATCTGCTGCCACAGCTGCTGCTGCCACACTAACTCCGCACTCCCTGCTGCGGTTCCACTGGCGGCCACACCAGCAGGCAGAGCAGCACCACCACCGGCAGCAGCACCGGCAGCAGCAGCAGCTTGCATTGCCGTGGCGGCATCCCAGGGCCCAAACCCCGACGCCACAGGCACCTGACTCGCGCCACTGCTTGTGCTGGGCCGAGGGGGCATGCCACCACTTGCACCCCCACTCCCCCCACTACGCCCACCGCTGCTGCCCCACTGGCTTGGCCAGCCTGACCGCCTCCCCCTCCCATGCCAGGAGCACTGCAGCCGAGTCCACTGTGGCTCGCCGCTGGTGCTTACCCCCTGGCTTGCCGTCCTTGCCGCCCCTGCCGCCCTTAGAGAGCCCCGCTCCCCTGCGGTAGGGGGAGTCGTGGCGGCCCGTGCTGCTGGCGCTGCGAGACAGCGACACTGCTGTGGTGGTTGCTGCGGCTGCCACTGCTGCTGCCACCACTGCTGCGGCGCCTGTGGAGGCCACACGCCGATGACGCGGCTGCTGCGGCGGCGGCTGCTGCTGCTGGTGCTGCTGTTGTTGCTGCTGCTGCGGTTGCTGTTGTTGCTGCTTCTGCTGCTGTTGTTGCTGCTGTTGTTGCAGGTGCTGCTGCTGCGGTTGCTGTTGCTGCTGTTGTTGCTGCTGCTGTTGCTGCTGTTGTTCCTGCCGCTGCTCGTGTTGCTGGTGTTGATGCAGCTGCAGCTGTTGTAGCTGTTGGTGCTGGTACTGCTGGTGCTGCTGTTGAGGAATCCCATCGAACATCTGAGATGTACCCAGCTGCCCTGCCCCCGCCTGCACTCCCACCAGCTGCCCCTCCATTCCTCTCACCTGCCCCTTTCCCTCCCATCCCATACGTTTCTGTCACCAACCACCTCCCCCCCTCCACCTCTCCCTCCCCTCTCCTCCTCCCTCTCCCCCTCCTCCTGCCCCTCCTGCTGTGCTCTTGCTGGGTCAGCAGCAGCAGCAGCGGGGGGGTGGTAGAGCGAGTAGCGGGAGACGTTGAGGCACTTACCACAAACGCAGCTTCTGGTAGCCCTTGGGCGCTGGGGGCAGGTGGGCGGGGCACTGCTAGCGACTTGAAGCAGCTCTGGCACTGGAGAGGGGCGGAGGGGGGCAGGGGAGGCGAGGAAAGCAAAGGAATGCAGTGTTGCGAGGTACTTGGCTGGTAGGCCTTGGGGGCTGGATGCAGCATACTGAGCACTGCTAGAGACTTGGCACTGGAGGGGGGCGAAGGGGGGCAGGGAGGGGAGGAAAGCAAAGGAATGCAGTGTGGCGAGGTATTTGCTGGTAGGCCTTGCGGGCTGGATGCAGCACACTGGGCACTGGTAGCGACTTGAAGCAGCTCTGGCACTGGAGAGGGCCAAAGGGAGAGGGCCAAAGGGATAGGGCCAAAGGGATAGGGCCAAAGGGAGAGGGCCAAAGGATAGGGTCAAAGGGAGAGGGCCAAAGGGATAGGGCCAAAGGGAGAGGGCCAAAGGGAGAGGGCCAAAGGGATAGGGCCAAAGGGATAGGGCCAAAGGGAGAGGGCCAAAGGGAGAGGCCAAAGGGATAGGGCCAAAGGGATAGGGCCAAATGGATAGGGCCAAAGGGAGAGGGCCAAAGGGAGTGGCGGGACGAGAGACGCGCACAGAAGGGGAGGGAAGAACCGCATAGTGTGGTGGGGAGAAAGACCGATAGTGTGGTGGGGAGAGAAGGACCGCATAGTGTGGTGGGGAGAGAAGGACCGCATAGTGTGGTGGGGAGAGAAGGACCGCATAGTGTGGTGGGGAGAGAAGGACCGCATAGTGTGGTGGGGAGAGAAGGACCGCATAGTTGTGGTGGGGAGAGAAGGACCGCATAGTGTGGTGGGGAGAGAAGGACCGCATAGTGTGGTGGGGAGAGAAGGACCGCATAGTGTGGTGGGGAGAGAAGGACCGCATAGTGTGGTGGGAGAGAAGGGGGCAGAGAGGGACCTGTGGGGCATGGCAGCATGAGACGGATGCATCCTTGCTGCTATACAGGATGGATGGAAACCGAATGGGCATGTATTGGTTGCAGAATCAGCACGGACCTTCACAATTTGGGGTGCATCAGGTGGTGGGAGCATGGCGAGTGGCTCCACTGGCGGCGCTTTATCTGTGTTGCTCTTCCCCTCCACGTGGCTCCCACGGCTCTTGCTCTTGCCCTTGGGCCCCTCACTGCCCTGTGAGTGACTACGACCTTCGAGCTGAGCAGCAGCAGCAGTGACGGCAGGAGCACCAGCACCAGCGGAAGCAGCGGCAGCAGTGCCGGCATCCCCTGCATCCCCTGCGAGCCCCACGTCTGGCTGCTGCGCCAGCCGGGACAGCAGCCGCCCCGACCCGTGCGACCTGCTTCTGCTGTGCCCACCTGACCCCCCCACGGGCGGCACCCCGTGGCTGCCGCCGAGAGGCGCTCTGGCAGTGAGCGCAGGCGGTGGTGTGCTGGAGGAGACGGCAGCAGCGGGAGCGGCGGTTGATGAGCGGCCGCAGTGAGGGATGCTGCTGACCTGCGGCCCACCGTGGCCTCGCTGTCACTCGCGTTCACAAACGGACTGGGCGCGGCGACCTGGTGGGGGGAGTGCAGGAGGGGGGGGGGTGGGAGGGAGTGGGTTATCTGCGGAAGGGACAGCTGCTCTGCAGCCCACGGTGGCCTCGCTGTCACTCGCGCTCACAAACGGACTGGAGGAAGCAACAACATGGCACAACCAAGAGCCCGGGGAAATAGGAGTGAGAATATCGTCTCGTGTGAGCCATACGGTGTCAGCCAGACCGTGTCCGCCAGACCGTGTGCGCCAGACCGTGTCAGCCAGACCGGGTCAAAAGAGCTATACTATACCCCTAGAGAGAGACGACCTTATCGAAGGAGCTGTCGAAGCTGCACCCGCCAGCCGTTCGTCTCCTCCGCGGAACGCCGCCGCCTGAAGCCGATCCACTACTAGCTGCGGGCCCTTGTCTGCCTGAAGGCCCTCCTCCTCCGCCTTGCACGGTCTCTCTCCCCATTGGCCCCGCGCCCGCTCCGCCGTCCGCATTCTTGCTGGCTCCACTGTCCGCGTTATTGGCTGACTCGTCAAACGGGCGCAAGTCTGCTAGGTTCTTTTTCACGCGCGAGAC